TCCGCCTCCCGCCCCTCCCCCACTGGGTCACGGTTCGAACCCCCAGCCCCAGGCAGCGCGGGAAAGGCCCCGGGGCTCCGCAGAGGGACAGTCAGAACGGTCCGAGGCCCTCAGACAGGCCTGGCGGCCGCAGGCAGGCTCACGGAAGCCCTCAGCCCCCGGCAGCCTGGGTGACAGCTGGGCTTGGGTATCCGGGTCAGGACTGACCTCTTTCTGCCACCACAGTTGTCCTCCCCATCCCTTTGTCCCCCCATGCTGTGAGCCCCACAAGTCCTTCGTGACCACCCGGTGTTCCCGTCCCCACCTCTCCAGCCACAGTTTTGGGCTACACACTGTCACCGTAGACATTGGTAATAAAATCTTTCCCCAGCCCGTCTGCTGTGATTGGCCAGAGCGGAAGAAGCCAGCGCAGCAAGATATATTATCATCTCTGGGGGCCGGGGAGGTGTCGTTTGGGTGTGGCGGGCCTCTTCGAGGGGAACCCGTCACAATTCTGTGGCGTCCAGGCCAGCGTTGCGGTAGGACAGCCCCTCCTGCGGCTGTCCACCCGAGTGCGCCTGGCTTTCCTCCAGGACGACGCTCAGGGGCTCTGGATCCGGCTCCGGTTCCGGTGGGCTGTGCAGCGGCTTCTCCTGGGGTGGGAAGTGGGGGGAGGTGTGAAGGAGGGAAGATGAGGCCCTGCCCCCAGCCCGGAAGGCGGGGTGAGGGCCTGCCAGCACACGACCGGTGGATCCCTGGCTGGGTCCCTAGGCGGCTGTGGCCATCGGGAGTGCGGACGGGAGGAAGGGGTGGGCCTGGGGTTCCCCTCTGACTTTGCCTGCCCCAACACCAGGGCAGTTCAGGGCTCTGCCCAGTCCTGGATAACACCAGACCCTGCGTCCTGTGCCAAGGCACCCCCTCACCCCCGGCAGGCACCATATGGGGCCGTCCGGGCGTCCACTACCTCAGCTGCTCACAGAACAGAAGGTCCCTGCGGGAGGACCCACGTCCCCTGTTCTGCAGATGTGGAAACTGAGGCTCGGAGAGCTCTCCTGACCAGGAAGGGGACAGACCGCCAGCCTTGCTGGTTCCAAAACCTGTCCATGGTAGGATACCGCCCAAGTTGAATTTGAGGTCACTTTCTGCCACCCTCAGAGGAATGCCACCCTGCAGGCGGGTCCATCACGGCATACATCCCGCCCTTCCTCTTCCTCCTCCTCATGCGACATGCCTCACATACGTGCGCACGCACAGTCATGCCCTCTCGCGGGATGGCCAGGCCCCCAGGCTCAGCTGCTCTGCTTCAGAAACTCCCACAGGGCCAGAGCCCCCAGGGCACTCCAAGGGCTTTTTCCAGACTGGGGCTGTTCTGATCCCTGGTAAACAGTGGAACCCCTGAGGGGCCCAGAGGGCAGAGCCCTTTCAACAGACCCCGAGCTGGGGGGCTGCAGACACAGTGCCACCCCAGGTAACGTGACCCTGTCCCAGAGGCGGGAGACCTGGTTCTGGCCTGCCCCTGTCCTGCTAGCTGTCTGGCCTCGAACAAGTCACCACCTGTCTCTGGGTGTCGGCTTCCAGTTGGTTACTTGGAAAGGTTGGGGTGAGCAAGCTCTCCAGTCACTCACACCTGCCACACGAACGTGTAGGGCGCTCTTGGACAAGTCACGGCACCAAGGAAAGACCCCTCCCATGCCCCCCAGCCAGACAAGGGAGAGGAGGGGGCAGGCGGCTCCCAAGAAGGCCCCATGACCTCCTGGCCTGCCCCGAGACCCTGAGACCCACTCTCTGCTGCTGGAGAGTGGGTGGGGTCCAGAGCACCCTGCTTGGAAGTACAGCACAAGGACAAGGGCCTGGCTCTTTTCTGGCTTTGGGGGCTGTCGTGACCTGTCCGTCGTCCCTCTCCAGACTCTTCGCTCAGTGCTCCCTGCCCCTCCCCAGCCTACAGGTTCAGCCTCACCGGGGAGACCCCGACTCCACTCCCCTCTGGGGCAGCCTCCAGCAGGGCCCACCAGCTCCAGCAAGAAGACCCTTCCCTTGTGGCCCTGCGTGGTGGCTGCTCTGAGCCCTGTTTACAGGTAAGAAGACTGACAGCCAGAGGCAAGAAGTCATCCGCCAGGGGTCACACAATGGCCCGGTGGAGGAGCAGGAAATGGACCCCATTCCAAAGCCATGGGGCTTCCTGGGGCCGGGCGCAGAAAGGCAAAGCTGCCATGTCCACAGCAGGTCGCTGGAGCTCTGTCTTAAGCCCCGCCCCTTCAGAGAAGGACCCTGACTCAGAAGCTCGAGGCAGCAACACTTGCCTTGATTTTCTGACTGGTCTCGTCCAGATCCACGGAATTGTCATCCAGGGAGTTGAGGCTGCGGGAGAGGTGATGAGGCTCGGGTTGTTGGCAGACTTGGTCCTCCCTGCCTGTGCCCAGGAGCCACCGCCAGCACCACCGTCACCACCATCATCACTACCATCACCACCACTATTGCCACCATAATCACTCCTGTCACCACCACCACCACCGCCGCCACCACCGTCACCGCCGTCACCACCGCTGCCACCACCATCTATGGCGATGAGGGGCACAGCTCACCTGCCAGAGTCCAAGCCGCTGGGGGAGGAAAAGTATCCCAAGCCCAGGTCCTCGGTGGGGAGGTTCAACATGGGGTTGGCCCTGGAGAGAAAGCCCGGTCAAGTAGCCGCGGCCCTCAGCCACCCCAAGGTCTCTGACCCTCCCTCAGACCTCTGCTCACCGCTCAGTGTTGTACATGTTAGTCCCTGGGATGGCAGGGGCCAAGGGCATCGCCCCCACCGCTGTCTTGCGGGCCTCCTTGGCGGCCTTCATAGCCCGAAGCTCCCGGTGGTAGCTGTGGGGGACGGGGTGAGGGAGGGGCTCGCCTTCACTGTGCACCCACTGTGGGCCCAGTGGAGCCCCCGAGTGTGTGGCTTCGCAGCGATCCTGGCAGGTGAGCGTGTTAGCTCTTTTTTACAGAGGTTGGAAGTAAGGGCCAGAGAAAGCAGTGATTTGCCACAGGCCACACAGCCAGCCGGTGGCCGGGCTTGAAATCACACCGAGATACTGCTGCTGCCTCTAAACATGCTGGAAATGCAGCGTCTGCTAAATGCATAGTACATGCCAGACAGCTTGCTGGGTGTGAGAGGCAGCTATTTCCTTGCATGCACTGAGGAACCTAACATCACGCCCATTCTGCAGATGAGGACACTGAGGCTCGGGGAGAGGAGGTGATTCGCCAAGATCTCATCACGGGTCACTGGGGCTTGAATACACCTCTACCTGATGCCTAAACCCAAGGTCTTGGCGGTGGGAGAGAGAGAGGGTTGGAGACCAGAGGCAATGAGGGCAGCACCTCTTGCGCACACACACGAGGGCCAAGGTCATGATCACTAGGACGAGCAGCAAAGCCACTCCCAGTCCTACGATGACGCTGACGAGCAGATTCGGCAGGTCTGACTCCTGGCTCTCCTGGGAGCCCTAGAGAAAGAGGAGTGTGAGGGAGGCCGTGGGGTTGCCCCACCAGTCTCCAGTCCACGGGCCATTGCCTGAGGCCCCGCCTAAGCCTGGAGGCCTGCCCACTGCCTGGAGCCCAGCCCACAGCCCATGTCCCAGCCCGCTGCTTGTAGCCTTATTCACTGCCTGAAGCCGGCCCACAGCCTATCCCCCCGCCCGCTGTCTGGAGCCCCGCCCACTGCCCGGAGCTCCACCCACAGCCTATCACCCTGCCCACTGCCTGGAGCCCAGCCCACAGCTAATCATCCCGCCCGCGGCTGGTAGCTTTATTCACTGCCCAGAACCCCGCCCACTCGTGGGAGCCCCGCCCACTGCCCCGCCCGCAGCTCATCGCCCCGCCCACTGCGCCTAGCTCTATTCAGTGGCCAGAGCCCCGCCCACCACTGGGTTCCCCGCCCACTGCCTGGAGACCGGCCCACAGCTAATCATCCCGCCCGCGGCTGGTAGCTTTATTCACTGCCCAGAACCCCGCC